TTAACACTACAATTATTATTTTTATTAATTTGAAAAAGAAAGGCCAGAATTGTCACTTTCACATATGCTCTCATACTGTAGCTGTTGTGTTACAGACACACATTGTGAGATGCAATGGTAAGCTCATCAAACACACTTTTGTGACAGCTGGGTGTGTTCTGTGTTGTGCTGACACCTTCTGTACAGGAAGCTGGCTGCTGCAAACAGGAAGCTGGCTGCTGCAAACAGGAAGCTGGCATTAGCCTTGAAACAAGGCCTTCTTCTTCCTCACTGTCCGAATCAGAGATGACCAGTGGGGGCTTGGGAACAGGGACACCAGCTGATCTGCACTGCTGGACTAAACCACTGGGACCTGGAGGTAAATGTAAATGGACTGTACTTGTATAGCACCTTTTTAGTCATCTGACAACTCAAACTGCTTTTACATTACATTCCACATTCTGCATTCACCCATTCACACACAGTCATACAGTCATAGTGATGGATGACCCATCACCAACAGAAACTAACATTCATCCACTATGCACAGCATCAGGAGCAATTTGGGGTATCTTGCTCAAGGACATGCAGCAGGAGGAGCCGGGATCGAACCGCCAACCTTCTGTTTATTGGACCCACTCTACCTCCTCCACAGCCGCTCCAATGTGTGGTGGGAAGTATATATCAGGAGATATCAAAACTTTTCTAATTCATAAAATGGGGAGTAAGAGTGTAGGAGCACACCAACCCTCTGCTAATGATAAAATAAAAAAAACAAGAGTAGAACCTGCTTGCTCCTCATCAGGAGGTTGTGTTGTTCCAGTTGGACGATTGGGCCCTGGAGATATGTCAGCTTCCTCCACTCTCACCTCCTCTTCAGCTCCTTTCAACTCTATCTGAGGCTCAGCTTCCATTTTCTCCTCCTCCAACATAACCTCATCCTCCTCCTCCTCCTCTTCCTCCTCATCCTCCATCCCATTTATCTCCACTGCTGCTGTAAAAAAACAAACAAAACTTCTTATTTTCAGTGACAAGGTTATGTTTTCAGCTCCATTTGTATATTTCTCTCAAAAACGTTTGCCCAATCTGAAAGCAACCTACTTAACATACCATAACATGATATTAGGATGCTACACTTGATCTTTTTACAAAGCACTAACAGGATATGATGGTAAAGACTGCGGCTCTGCTGACTAAGAATGAAGGTGAGACTTGCCATTGTGCTGCTGCTGCCTTTGGTTGTTGTTGTTGTTGTTGTTGTTGTTGTTGTTGACGACAGGTGGAGGGGCAGGAGGCAAGTTTGCCTCATTATTGTGGTGGTGGTGGTGGTGGTGGTGGTGGTGGTTGTTGTTGTTGTTGTTGTTGTTGTCATTGTCATTGTTGGAGTTCTGGTTGCTGACCAGTGCCGAGGACACACCAATACCAGTTCCTGCACTCAGGCCCACCCTGGCACAGCCCTGATACACATAATGCACTTTATGAAGCAGATCAGGTATTAGCCACACACACCAATGATTCACAATGAATACAATTTATTTGCTTGTTGTTGCTGCCATGACTGGATGAAAATAGAAACAATCACGCAATCCAAGTACTACCATTATATCTATTACAGAAAATGCTCTAATATAAGATCTATGAGATGCATGAGAAGGGTGCATATAACTGTGTGTGGGTTTATGAACATACAGTATACCTTGGGTGGTTCTCTAAACATCTGGTCCAGACAGATAAACTCCAGACTGGGCAGTAACTCTATGAACTGGGAGAAGGATTCCAGTTTGATAGCATGACAGCGAACCAGAGTGAGATCAACCAGGCGGCCCCATCTTGACTGATCTGAAGACAGAAACAGACAGAACATGTACACCATTGTACTACATCACTTTTCAAAAGAAGTGAGAGATGAAAGACTGCAAGAAAATAAATTTTCTACTTGGCACGCAGTACTCTCTTAATTAAATACAGAAACTGAGCATAAGGACATTAATATTTGGGCCATGTGTTACTGAAGTTACAGGGGAGGACTAAAATGTGAGTTAATGAGGACTGTGTTTTACCTGTGATCCACTGGTGCGGGTTATGTAGGTGAGGACAGTTGTAGATGAGGAGGTATTTAATATTGGTGAACACCTCATTCACCACCCTGATGCCAATATCAGTGATGATGCCTGGATTCTCAATGACATCTGCCAGACCGTACTTCACCAGCTCCGAATGACTCATCTTACCTGCATTCGCACACACAAAAAATAAACTTGGACTTTCTAACTGAGGACTTATCAGAACACAAACATTTGGGATACAATAATCACAAACTGTGGGAGAGCCTGATCGGACTACCTCCACCTGCCTGTGTCTTCTGTGGTTTGTTCACATAGACAATCTGCTCTATGTGCAGCTGAGTAGAAACTGCTGTTTCTCTCATTACATAGCGTTCACGTGCATTTCGCAGCCACAGTAGTTTCTCCATTATACTTGTAAGGAGAGGATGAAGTAATGGTAAATGGTAGATGTGAAGTGAGAGAGCACCAATCTGCAACTATTCAATACAATTTTATTTTATTTGTATAGCACAATATCGCAACAGAAGTTATCTCAGGACACTTTGCACTGTGATGAAGGGCACAGTTGCGGCCTTTGCATTCCTTTACTAGATTTCTTTTTTCTCTGTGAATTAAGGGTTTATTTTTATCAAACCAATGTTCCAACGATCAAGTTTGTTTTACCCTGATCCCTGTTCCAATCCATAACTAATTGCCTGCATACAAGCTGTTTTTTTTGTTTTACTAAATAACAAAGAATAAAACATCAAATCCTGTTACTAGCTTTTTGCTCACAGGGCTTTTATTGCACTTGCCCTGGTGTGGTGAGTCTGATTGTGTCGGCTCTCCACCAGCCCTACTCTTACACACACGGAGGTCAGCAGAGTGGAGGAGAGATAAAAAGCAAAGGGAGTTGATGCCAGCTGCCCTTACTGCATTTCTGTGCATCAAAGCACAATACAGATCAGTTTATTTGATCCGTCCCAATACAGATTTTTGAGATTAGATCAGGACATCCCTAGTGGAAAATATTAATAAAGACAGCATTACCATTTCCTGTCTACATAAAAAGTAATGTTAACAAAAAAGGACGTCAATGGATGAAGTACAAGAGAACCCAAGAGAATTGTTCATTTCTGTCAGAGAAAGGGAAGTACCCAGTGTTCTCGGATGGTGGCGATATTTGAAAGAGGGGACTAACATTGTAGCAGGAACTCATCCACGTATCCCAGATGAAGTGTCTCAAACTGAGGAAACTCTAGTTCAGCCATTTTGAGAGCTGAGAAGACACCATCTTTAGTCAGTGAAGGCTGGATACGCAGCTCATGAAGCCTGTTAAACACACAGGAATCACATAATTAAATGTACGCATTTATGCTGGTTCATATTGAACCATTTAAACAATATTCTGCAGTTGCCAATGTTTTCTGCTGACAGGCGAAGTTAATTTAAAAAAAAAGTTTTTATTAATTTAATTTCAACAAAATCATGTGTTTAAACCTAACCCTGCTATAATATATAGATAGCAAGGTAATGCTGTGATAATTATTCTAACATTCTGTGTACTAAATATACTATCCATAGATATTTTGAATATTGATACAGCATAATGCCTATGCCTATGAGGAACTTCAGTGTAAAAGTGGGTATTGGCCTTGACAATATCGTAAATGGTAAATGGTTTGTACTTGTATAGCACCTTTATAGTCTTCCGACCCTTTACACTACATGCCACATTCACCCATTTACACAGTGATGGACAGTGAAGTCCATCACACAGAAACTAACTTATTCATTCATTCATTCATTCACATTCACACACCGATGCATCGGGAGCCATCTGGGGTACAGTATCTTGCTTGAGGACACTTTTGTGAGTGAACCGCCAACGTTCCAATTAGTAGACCACCCAGCCCACATGTATACTACAGTATCACTGCACTTCTTACTTTGGATGTTCTTCATTTACTTTGTTACAGATTGCTTTGCAAGACTGAACAGTGACTAAACAGTGTGTACATCTGACCAAGATTCCAATGAAACCCTTTAAAAATATAAGATGTGTTTGTTTCTCAGTCAGTTTAAAGGAACTGATGACTGGCTGAGCACCTGCGAGCAGCAGTGATGATGAGGTAGCCCAAGTCCACTTCCAGAGCATTCTTACAGGCTCCAAACACAATGGTGTGGAGGTTCCGAAATCCTCCTGGAGATATAAAGACAAAGCATTACAGACAACAAAAACAACTTATTAACCCTTAATCAAAAGGTGTGAGCTTTTGGTGCATTTGTCAGCATTTTGGTTAGATTCTCGACATCCCAACTGGTATTGACGAGGCCATATTATGCTCAATTTCAGCTTTATACTTTACTTTTTATGAGGTTTACATGCTTTAATGTTTAATAAAAATAAAAAAAACTACTAAGTATATATATATCACAGAAAATTAACAGGCTGATAGCAACTCACTGAATCAGTTTAATAAAAAGTATTACTCCGGTAATTCATATTTAGGGCTTTTTAGAAACCTACACTCTCCTCACCTGACCTCCAGCTGTCCTCCACCACATGTTGGATCAGTCCTCCCAGGAAGGGGACTCTAACCAGCTCCAGCTGCTCCAGGTTCCGGGCTGATGCTAAACCAGTAACCAGGGGAACATATTTGAGGGAATTTGTTGGCCCTGCGCAGTTCCGCATAACAAAGGTTCTCAGGCTCACACACAGGAAGTCCTTAAATGGCTGTGGTTTGGTGAGACGGACCCACTTTAGGTAAAGGTGCCGCAGCATGGACACACAGGGGATCTCTGGGACATTCACACCTATAACAAACAAACAAACCCTTTGTAAATGGTAAACGCTAAATGGACTGTACTTATATAGCGCCTTTCTAGTCTTTTGACTA